GAGAGGACTGGCAACAGCAGAGCAACTGGTACTCGAATTTCGGCGGTACTACGAGAGGGTGTAGGCTAATATCCCACTCTGCTCACAAATCGTATTTTTTGTTGGGATCCAAAATAGTATTCTTATTTCTTTCAGAAAAAACTGCCTATTCAGTAGCCTGCATAGCATTTCATGGTTGGCAGATAATCGCCGAACTTTCTCAAATCTGATTTACGATGCAGGAGGGTGGGGATCAATAAGGGTCCTGGTTACCGGGCGTTCCCTCATCTTTACAGTTCCGTCATCACCCTACAAAACTGGTATTCATCACGATATATCGCCTTCGTTATACAAACTTATCAAGGTGTTAACTTCCATCCCCTCTGTCTCTATATTCAAGCAACATACTCTCTATTCGATCAAGCGATTTCAAAACCTTCTGTTTGATTCTATATCATGATTTTTATGGGCAATTCATGGCGAATCAACCTTCACCAGAGTGAGACTTTCTTTTCACTCATAAGCACTGAGAAAGCCGTCTTTTCCAAATCCGCTAGTTCACAAGTTCGTGACCGCATCCATTCATCCACTGACTTTATCCTTCATACTTTTTCTTAGGTCCAACAAGAAGAACTCTGTGAAAACTAATTGATCCTTTAAATTTATATTCAGTCGCAGATGTCTGTACTAGTTTTGCACACAATTTATCGTATACACTCGGAATATCGAGCCACTGAAGTTTATTCCAACGCGTAGGCCTAGTTTGGACCAATTTTTTCAAGAATGATCATAATTCCGTATCTTATTTGGTGTTCAGACAAGTGACCTCCTCTTGTCCTACCTTGAAACGCTCAGTCTTTAATTAGGTTCCTAATAACTTCTTTCTTTTTTTACTCGATTCTGTTTGTGCTGTGAATGTTGGTGGGCGCATGGAACTTGGTGTAGGAATAAACCAGACCGGTATATCCTAAAACATGTTCGCACACCGAAATATCTGTTCTTGCATTCATCTGGATATTTCAGCATTTTGGTCGTTCAGTTGAATCGGCAGTGCATCTTCGAAATTTAAACCAGTGTGCAGGGTTTCAAACTAGGCCAACACGAGGTGCACAGCCGCTATCCGGGAACCATGACAACATGGTGCCTACCCATAATTTGCTGCTTTGCTCGCTCGTAAGATAGCTATCACGTGAGAGAAGCAGAGAATGGAACGATAAAGGCAACTGTAGCATATGCTACCCCCCTAGTCCTCACACTGAAGCTATTAGCATCCTGCGTTGTCAGTGCTACAAGGGTATAACATGATACTGTTGGTGCAACAACATCAGTGGGTGGGGAGGGGATGTAGAGCGTCAAACCAAACAGAGCGGTTGCAAGGTGAGATGAGATGGTTCCGGAAACGGGGACAACAAACTGTCTAAGATCTGGTTGGTTGTTACAGAGACTGCAGCATGGAGAATCCGGGGATGTTCAGCAACTACGATAATGACAATTTGAGAGGACATTGGTGTCACTGAACGGCAAAAGCTACCATAAAAATATGTTTAGAGGTTCGTAAGATGTTGTCCCATCTGTCGGTCTAAATGGTACTGGTATGAGAAACCTCGTCATAAAATGCATTATGATTCTGAGCGTGTTGTTTAAGTAATTTTTATGCATGGCAGATGCAGGCAGCCGATTTGTTCAGTCTAACAATCCCTTGGGAAGACGCTACCCTAAGAGCTGAGTGGATAGCTATAATTTGGATCTGTAACACACGCTAAGGCCTTCAGCAACCGATTAAAAACAACAAAGAACTATGGCATTTTCTTTGTGTCCTCCATGTAGACCGTGGGACGGGAGTGTTGGGTGTACGCCCTCACAGTGGCGAACATATCATTAACGTATTGCAGTCCATCTGTCCCCTGGAAAGTGGAGATTCTAATTTTCCATCCTAGTTAGCTAAAAAAAAGTCCTTTGCTTATTAAGTGGCAGTTAGCTAAAAAAAAGTCCTTTGCTTTAAACATTAAGTGGCTTGCTCAACTCTTGAACTATTCCTAGACTCTGTCATAATAGTTTGGCTTGCGAGCAAAGAACGACAAATAGGGTCACTTCGAACACAGTCCTTTTAAAGTCACCGATCTTAATTCAAGCAATTATTTTAATAATATCATGAACATCAGCATGTGTTTCCGGATCCGCAAATAAAACACCCCATTTAGATAAAATATTGTGACTCATCGAAAAGATGGCGATAAAGCATGTTGGCCGTCATCGTAGCTTTCACTCGATGGAGGCGCATACAAGTAATTCTTTTGTGTTTATACAAAATGTCAACATCCTATCTCCAGGCCTAATCTGATACGTTGTTCAAAAGGTGTTTGGCGCCAGTGTGATTTACCGACCTGATTGGAGCAACCGGTTGTTCACTCATATTCAATACAGGTATCACGCGAACAGGACTAGAGAGGTAATTGGATTTGTCGCCATTTCCCCTATTGAGGGGGACAAAAGAGACTAAATAGTTAATCTGTTTAACTCTGACACAAGCAACTTCGTTTAAGAAATACCCACAGTTAGATGAACTAACACAGTCCCAAAATTTGCATAAACAAATTTGCCATTGACCGGCTCACGGTTTAGTCGGAACAGAAAGACTTTGTTAGGTGTACAGACCGGATAGATGAAGTCCTCGTCCAGTTTTCAAGAACCGTGGTTTTGATAATAACTAAAGAGTACGGTGAATATGACGTTGCGGGATAACAGTAAAGTATGAAACCTATTGTGGAGAAAAAAATTGGCACTGTTAAACTCAGAAGTTGCAAGGAGAATGAAATACTGATGAACGGATATAACCATGAAATGCTCTTGTTGCTTTGGTGAACATACTGGGTGTTTTTTCACAAAGGAAACTACTCACAAGGTTGCTGAAAACTCTTCGACAGCCCAACACCCGTTTCGCCCTTCTTGGGGTTCATCAGGTAGGCGCAGTCCCCGAGTTTCCGTTAACCTTATTTTCTACTTGAACCCAAATAGGACTGTTTTCGAGAAATACACTCATTTGCAAATCAGTTTGGTTTTCACGACAGACTCAACTGAATCTCTCGTTTATGATATTCTACAACTGAATGTGCCGCACACAGGCCGGAAACTCGCCTGCGCCTACCTGATGAGCCCCAAGAAGGGCGAAACCGGTCGTGGGCTGTCGAAGAGTTTTCAGCAATCCTGTGAGTAGTTTCCTCTATGAAAATATACTGCGATATCCCGAATATCGTGCCAACTGAATCATGAGGCGACCTGTGTGCAGCACATTCAGTTGTAGAATATCATAAACGAGAGATTCAGTTGAGTCTGTCGTGAAAACCAAACTGATTTGCAAATCGCTCTGCTCCTGGAATACTGGGTGTTTTGTTATATCAAGCGTAAATTGGATATCCCAGTGAACTGACTAGTGTTACGATAGTTTACTCGTTTGTACTGCAAAAGGTATGGGTATCTGACCGTAAGAGATGAAAGAGCCCCTAACTGATGTATTGCATACGAGAAGTATGGTAAAAAACCGTGCATTTGTATTCACCAGTCATGAGCTGTAGGGCGTCCGCATATCATGATAAGTACATACAAACGGGAGGAGCTAGGCGGCTGTGTATCACCCCCATTCAGACAGATCAGATCGCTCAGCTGTAACACCGTCGTGAAAAACATGAAGGAAGCACGAGGGCTGAGATACTGCCAGGTTGCTCAAGCCTAGACAGGGGAAGTCGAGGGGAAGAAGTCGGGTTCGAACCACGGACTCTGAGGTCAGTAAATTCGCGCTCTTGAGCAATCTCGCCCCCCCCCACCCAAACTCACTGGATTTTGAAGAGCTAATTCAGTCCACGTGGGAATTTTTTGGTCGTGTGCAGCGTCCAAACTGGCCAAAGTCTGACCTATCAGTTTGGAGCATGTGCATGTGCGGAATAGGTATCTGATCTCAAGTATGGATATATTGCACAATAATCTTTGTGTTATGCGCTTTCCTACAAGAAATGGCAAACTACGAGTCAGTGCCAGAATATACTTTGTATATGCTTATCTTCAAGTTTGGTAAACAAACCTACGTTAATTTACACGGCAATGGCATACCTTTCATCTGAACGGAGACCAATAGCGTTTTTTTACCGCGTGTATGTATACTTCTGAATAAACGCTAATAGAATAGAACGCCGTGAACTGTTAGTTTTATTTTCGGTAGCCTTGGTCACTTGGTAGAAGATGACAAATCACAAGAAAAGGTGGTTATGAGTGCGTATATGGATAGACATTTTGAGTACTTTTGCACTTGCAATGTGTGTAGGTTTCTGCAACAATAGGCTGGTACAGAGCTCCCGTTAACTAGGCACTGACGGCGATGAAAAAGTAGAAAACGTAAATGGAAATGATCTTTTCTGTGGGGTATCTGGTCCCGCGGAGTGTCTCTTCTTCAAACCCAAACAGACTATCCTTCCAAATTGCTTCAAGGGATTGGAACCACCGACAGCAGGATGACAAACTATCTAAAAATATTTTCTCAGAAATCAAATCATGTTTCTAGCTAGTGTTAACCTGAGATTCAGATTAACGAAACTGCAGAACGCCACATTAATTTGCACTCTCCTTAAGTGAAAGCAACATCTCAGCCAGTCCACATAGAGTGATATGAATCAAAGAGACCCAAGTTAATACGTCTCACTGTAGAAAAGAAAATAAGTTACACAGAGAATTTCCGAACTATTAGTTAGTCTGATCATCCAGAGCCTGGAACTCAAGAAGCCTCCCACGAAAGAGTTGATGATCAATGTGTATGTGGAATAAACTTTCGTACATGCAACTTCTCTACAGCTGTGAACACAAGTTTGGCGTGATGTGCGCCACTGACTGGCTGGTCGCATCACAAATTACAGTGCCGCAACTGAACATAAAGGTCCAGTACCTCTAGGTTGATCATTACCTCATTAATTCAGTCAGCTTGTGTCATTTCATTTGAGGTAGGTGAGTGGTCAAAGCTCTAACTTACTGACCAGAGGGTTCACGGCTCGAATCCGGCAGCTACATCTCAACTGCTCATGTCTGCGTTCGGGCAACCTGACATTATCTCGGTCCTCGTGCTTCCTCCGAATGGTTTGGTAGCTATTCACCGAAAGAGCGTCACGGTTAAACGGCTGTTGATAATTTACCTCTTCAATTTGACAGGTTGGTGACAATATTTCCTCATATGCAACATCGGAAAGAGATAATTAGCATATTTGAAAATCCTCTGGAACCTACTGATTGAAACCAATCAATAAACTGGCCAAATCTGCCGTAGAGAACATGTTTACTCAGCTAGAGAACTTTTGCGTGCTTTTCTCTTATGTGTGAACTTGACCCCCGAAAGCCGTCTCACTGCAAAAGCAACCCTCTCATCACCTGGAGCGTTTTGTCAGATGCTTCGTTGGTATCTTCCCTACTTCACTCAGTGGGCCCGGCAACACACCCGTCTTTTTTCCATGCCTCAGCGACCGATGGGGACGTTGACCTCAGATTGAGAGCATGCAGACACCTGCATGGGAAGAAAATTATTCATTTCATGTTGCGAGCACGTGTTTCCCATACAAAACGGATAGCCAACAAGAGTGGGGAGATGAGATAAAACACGTGTTCAGTGCGACAACGTGTCCTTACAATCTCCTACAGCACGCATGCTCGCAGCCGTCGGCCGACCTGCACAACTCAGACAGTGCTCGACTAAGACAGTGTTTACAAGCACATTTAATATGAAGGGGTATTTTCGAGCTCGAACGAAATCAGCCCCATAAACTCCGCCTGAAACATTGCGGGTTATTTAGATGCAGATGTTTGGTTCTAGGCGTGGAGTCAGTACTTGTTATTCTCATGCCAACCTACCAGACCCATACTCACGCCACAAGTAAACGGGGAAAAAGATGTAACTGAAATGCCCGGCAAGCTACCTTACGACAAGAACGGACACCGTCAGGTGTCTAATTGCTGTCCTTTCTGAACACATCCGGACGGTTAGGATTCTCATCGCTTCTCGCCAAGTCAGTTCCCGCTGCAGCTTGGTTAGCTGTAGGCTTAAACGATCCGATATATATATA